GCTCCAGTTTTCCTGGTATCTAAAAGCAAATTCCGTCCAAAGACAAGCAATCGACAAGAGACTGGCCCTGGAACTATTGGTGACCATCATTCGATCAACTGCTACCGCACTTTTCAAAGTTAGGTCAAAACCTCACATCTGGCTAGAAACCTGTCCCCAAGGGTAGTTTTGCTCCCTGAACACGAATATGGCACCCATTTGGCGTTTGAGTGTTTTCTAGACTAAAAGAGACATTCCCCACAAAATGCAAAACAAGTTCCCTTCCAGAAATCCGAACCCTTCATGGCATGCCCACGAAGCAAGACCATTACCACTACCCCATGCCGCCCTTCTAGTGAGCTACATCTCCTTACAAATGGCCACTTCGACCTGAAGAGCTTCCCTACTGAGAACTTAACCGTAATTGAACACAAGACTCGATCCTGGGTGATATCAATATTTACCTTCCCTTCAATAACCCTATTCAAACCGCCAGAAGCACGCTTCGTCTTCTCGCCGCAAGTATGTCGCAGGCCACGCCCACCAGCTGCACCGGACGATTCTGTTGCTACACACCCCTCATTCCTTGCGCCCTCTCACTGAGATGGTGCGCAACAGTTTCGAGGTGGTCTCAGGCACGCTTCTTGCGGGAATGCGGTTGCAAATCAGAAATTGATGTCTCCACCCACTCTGTGGAGTCGGAAATACGTCAAATGCTGTGACATGGAAATCAGATATGGTGTGATATAAACTCCTTTCGCAACGGGTGATTGGGCGTGTCAGATGGGATTGGTTGGTGCGACGTCGAACGCGTTCTCCGCCACCTGTTGAAGCGAGGAATCAGTTAGACTGTATCATATCGTTCGTATCAGTCGTTTTCCACCGGCTGTTGTCGTCCCCCTCTTCAACAACTGGTATCGAAAAGCTGGCGGCGCGCCCAACCCAGTCCCAATGACATGCTCATGAAACAAGGCTAGCCGCTCAGCCGCGTGGTCCACCCCACAGTCGCGTCGCTACTTTTTTCACGCTGATTTACCATGGTTCATTGTTTTTATAGGTGCCACACGACATAGCGATTCTAATTCGTCACCGTTATGAAGGCGGTATAGCTTACGTAAATGGAGTCTGCAAAAGGACTGCAGTTGGCATTGCAGGGGTAAGATTTTGGTGACGTTCGCCCGGTCTCGCAGCGAAGTGACCCCGCCTATATGATTTTTTTTTCTTATCTAAAAAGTCTGAAAGATGATAATTGTTTTCTTTATTGGTAATGTTCCAGTTTTTCCCAGAAGCTCCTTTCGAGTACGCTTCCGTATTCTTTCATGAGCTCTCACATCTTCTGGGACTCTCACACTCAGCTCGAGCTGATTGCCACTGCTCAAAGAAGAATCGCGGCAGTTGTCTGCGCATAGAGTACGTTAAACATTTGCCTCTGTCCTTCCTAAATAATTAGTCACTTCGATTGGCGACCCCACTTATCAGCTCAAACTCACCCCCAAAATTTTGCACCTCTGGCGAGTCATCTACAAAATGAAAGTAACTTTACTTACTGACAGACGGTCGGAGAGAGCAGAGTTGGAGCGGTAATACGCAGCTGTCGCCTAGCGTCGTTGGGCCAAGATATCAGCCTGTGAGTTCACCACTGGGTGGCCTAACGTCAGAAGAATCAGCTAATCATGTTAGCATCTCCCATCCCCTGACACCGGGCTAATTGATGTCGGCGCAATTTGCCAACTTGAAGGCGTTTTTGAGCTGATAGGTGTGCAAGACTGTTCTTTGCTGAGCTTCCCTATGTGCTTCTAGCGGTTTCGACAACGAATGCAGTGCACAAGCTCTTGTCGATCTCCTTCCAACCATTGAGTGCCTTACGGAACCGAGAGAACTGCCACGTTACTGGCTACTCCTGCGTGTGGAAATGGTATTGTCGAGCAAGATGAAGACTGTGACTGTGGACCAGCGAAGTACTTTTTTTCTTTCTTTATCTGAATGATTGCATTTCTCACTTTTCCTGCTTGACCTTTTCCACGCTTTTGTTTTTTCGCTGAGAGAGGGAGAAGAAATTTTCATTCTTTGTTTAGCACTTTTCACTTTTTTCCTTTTCATGAGAGAAGTTAGCTGCCTCAGGCGGCAAGTGGGGACGATAAATCAGCAGCGGTTCCTTTCAGAAGAATTCTTGCTCAGCGGCAAGTGGGACGGTAAATCCACAAGCGTTAGGATAAGTAAGCCTAGTAGAACAGAATTTGGTCTGATGAGCACGAAATGGAAGACGCTTTTCCGATTTATAACAACCCAAGATCCCTCTGTTCACAGAACGCGAGCCAACTGGCGACATTTCTATTAGCTCGAAAGGCCTGCGATTCGAAGCGCCGTGCAAATGGCAAAAAGCCACTACAAGCCGGCGCAAAACTTCGTGCTCTCAAAATAGGTGTATGCACATACGCAGAACTTTACCGGAGCACGTACTTTTAAGGTTTGTAGTCATTGATTCCCTCCCTGCCTTGAAAAAGGTTCCGGGAAATCTTATTTCAAGAGTGTAGTTTAGCTTTCTTAATGTCTCTATACTGTGCTTCGAAAGGCGGAGTCGAATCTGACTGACGATGAACTACTTTCGTTCGAATTGCTAATGCCAATCTCATTAACTTAGTATTGCGTAGTCAACTTCTTGCACCTGCTCATTTTCTCGAACATCGTCTTTTAGGTACTGCAATAATGCCTTGTGCGAGCCAAGGACGTGTCGTTTTATTATTGCGAAACAATATTTGTACACAATTGTCACTTTTGGAGCTGCTCTAACAATCTGCATTTTCCTTTTTCTTATCAAGTGAGTTCTTTTTCGTTGTGATCGTGTTTTTACCAGTTTATGAGCAAGTTAGAGTTCTTTCGGAGTCACGTGCTTCCAAGAACTTTTTCAATCCTTTAATAATATCAAGAGGAACATATGGGTAAGGCATTGTTCACAGCTTGCGACCCGGCGGTTGGGCGAAAAGCAAAAATAGTCATCGATCGGAGAATCGCCAACCGCTAGTTTCGCCGAACCGCCGCGGTTCGGCGGTTGGGCGAAAAGCAATAGATGCGTATCGATTTCGCTGGCGAAAAACGCCACGGCGGTCGAGCTAGCGTTTCGCGAAGGCGAAAAACGCCGCGGTTGGCGAAACGCCCGTCGATACGTATCAAAACCTTTCGCCCAACCGCCAGACTCTTCGCCCAACCGCCAGTCGATACGTATCAAAAGCTTTTCGCCGAACCGCTTCTTTCCAGAGTAACGCTGGGCCGCAGACTGTGAACGATGCCTAAGCGTTCGAAGTTCGAGTTAAGCATTGAATCAACGGACGGAATACAAGAACCCTATTGGTTGAACAGGGGTTATTCCAAGCTCAAATGAATTGCAGGATGGACACGGTCTTCCCCCCACGCTAATGAACTCACGCAGATAGCGCGATATAATCGGTGGGAGTTGATAATCACGTCGTGAGACCTGGCGTAGCCCAATAAAGAGATGATGCTATGTGCATCTAGTGAAGAATCATGCATACGAGCGAGAAGGCTGGAGTTTCCCGGTGAAGGCTGTTCCAACCTCCACACTAAAGTTGTTTTTCCTTTCGGCATACTAGCGTGGACGGGAAGCCAATATGAGCCCCACCAACAAGCAAGTCAAGGAACAAGGAGTCGCTCTTGCCTTATTCCGCGCTTGTTTTAGTTTTCCAAATTTGAGTTTGCCATGCTATACCGCCTCCGGCACTTCCCACATGATGTGCGTTCCACACTGGCAATGTAGATCACCGATATTAATGGGGCAGACCAGGATTTACGGTCAACCGTACCAGAACTGATTCATCAACCTGATGTTGTTCTTTTCTTTTCTCCTTTTACACAACTGAATACAAAAACACAAAGCACACAACATTAGGAGCGTAATTGTTGCATTATTCGTGGCCTAAAAGCTCGCATGAAGCTAAACAAGCGTTCTACGCAGGCTAATGGTCCTCCATCTACCAACAGCTCACTCCAGCTATGAGAGTGAGAGCAACAGGGCAGGGGTGGGGGGACCCTTTCGTTCGTGATTGGAAGAAGCTCCTTCCCTTGCTGCGACTGGGCAGGTCACATGCTGTGCATCTTTACATTTTCTTGAACAAACAGCAAGTACGGGAAATCACCTTACGATAATACCTTCTGATTCTGCGCAGTTCCCAAAGATGCGCACACTGTGTGTCCACTTCTTTTTTATGATTTTGAAGGATATTTGGCAGTGTATTATCGGCTACAAAACTACAAAATTACATCACATGAACCATAAAAAAACGGAAAACAATTCTCCGATAGGTGAGAGCAAGACAAATTGAAGGCAGAATCCGTGATATTAACCTATCGGAAAACCTGAAGGGATGGCTGTTATCACCTGAAATGAATAAAGATTTTGCACTGAGAAGTTCTCTTCTTCTAATTTATTTCATGGATTGTAGTTTGTCACTAGTACAAATTGAGTTCACTTATATAATTAAATCGCACGAGCTCACTGGGAATTCGTCAATTTTCAACCTGTTCATTTCTTAGGCGCACATTCGCACGAGCTACAGACGCCAAAATTGGACTAGCAAACAAGACGTAAGTTGTTGCTTTGTTATTGTAATCCGTTCTATTCGTCCTTCTGAGCCAAATTAGCTGCAATACTCATCCCCTTATCAGCAAGGTAATAAGTAACGTCTTGTATTGCATATTGCAGATTGCAGCAGACACACTTATTGCGGTGATCTTACTACGCATTGCAGTGTTGGCTTTGCTTCTCTGCTTGCTCTCCATACAGGGGGGGGGGGCAAAAAAGTCACTTCGACCGAGTCACATATCAGCAAAGTTTTCGCAGCCCAGAGAGAAGATGTGGATACGAGTACCAGGGCGGAAGATACCCAAGATGTTCCTCGATAAGCAGGAGCTGGCCCTCGCCCATCACCTTCATGTACACCAAAATATGAAGTCATCTCCAGTCGCAGCCTGACTGGAGAAGACCTTTGGAATTCATGTCACCTCCAAACAGCTGCGAAACTTCTAGTGTGGAGTCACCCATGGGTAGCTACCTGGAGACCAGTACTCTCAATCTGGAAGACCTCCAACATCGAGCAGCTCCGACAACGTCGCTACGGTCTAGGACATCATCTTCACCGCAGTCGTCAAGGCGCGGGTTGATGGTATGGACCGGACGTACCTGGAATGGAAAGACCAATATTTTCTTCGTGGACCCCGGACTGAAGGTGAGCGCTGGCGGTTACATCGAGCAACTCGTGAAGAATATCCTCCTCACATGTCGTCGCCCGTACCTTCTTGGAAACTTTGTACTGCTACAGCATTGGGTGCCACCACATGGAATCGAAGGGCGTTGGAGAAACTACTTGGAATGGAAGGGGGCTGAGTACCTAAAGAAGATGGAATATCCAAGTAGGTCACCTGACCTGAATCCCCTCAATTACCCGGTTCGGGCGGAGAGGGTGGTCTACGGTGGCGGAGAAATCGACTATCTCGCTGATCTCAGGCACCACATCGCGGTCGCGTGCCAGAATCTCTCGATGGCGCTCGTCCAGAAGGCTGTGGCGGAGTGTCATGATAGTATTTAATATGCTCTTTAATATGGTGGTAGAAATGTCCGATTAGAATTTATAAAGTGTAACTTATAGCGCCACGAAAGTCAATGAAGAAAAGTGACTTTTTTTGCCCCCCCCCCCTGTATGTTCCTATTATGAGCACCCAAGGAGTGACTTCCCAACCCTATGCGAGGCTCCTAGACATGCGTGAGGCAGCGTTCAGACTTGTAGCGCTACAACTGTAGCGCTACGATCGTCGCGCTACGATCGTCGCGCTACAGCCGTCGCGCTACAGCTGTCGCGCTACGATCGTCGCGCTACAATCGTCGCGCTACAGATCGTCGCGCTACAATCGTCGCGCTACGATCGTCGCGCTACAGCTGTATCCAGCTTCCTTTTATATTTTTTCCTTTCATTCAACCCTCTTTTGCCATATTTATCTGATGCTGAGCTCTTTTCTACTTTACCGCATTTTTTACCACATTTTAATATAGTTTTGATACAGAGCACTATGATAATTTCAGAAAGTAGGTCATTCATAGAATAATATCGTAGAATATCAAATAATGTTCACAATTAAACGACGTCAGGCTGGTCACGCCTGTTGTTGGCTTGCAACCTGTCCGTGAATGCCAAAAACAATTTCGTCATCAGGGTCAACGTGAGGCACCACTGCAAAACCTCAAGCAAAGCCATCAAACATTAGAAGCAACTCTGAAATAAAAATAATAATAATAATAATAAAAACAGAAGAGAAAATAATTAAAGTCTAAAACGATAAATAAACCAATTATCACAGTGCTCTGTATCAAAAACTATATTAAAATGTGGTAAAAAAAATGCGGTAAAGTAGAAAAGAGCTCAGCATCAGATAAATATGGCAAAAGAGGGTTGAATGAAAGGAAAAAATATAAAAATAAGCTGGATACAGCTGTAGCGCGACGATCGTAGCGCGACGATTGTAGCGCGACGATCGTAGCGCGACGATCGTAGCGCTACAGTTGTAGCGCTACAAGTCTGAACGCTGCCTGACAGAGCCGCATGGCCACGGAGTAATAATCGTGGTTAAGCATTGCATGTGGCAGCGCCAAAGTTTAGGCCCATTCCAAATTCAATATCTTACAGAAAAACTGTATGCTCCCTTCGCGGGTCCTATCCCTTGCCATGTGCGAGGTTAATGGGTCCGCAGCTGCAGTAACATCCCAGTCTCTCCGGTCGAAAGTGTACGGGAACTTGGTTGAAGGGTAGTGATACCCGGGTCCATCATCCGAATCCGCCCGCCCTACAGGCCACACGTCTAACCGTAGCTGAATGCGGTTCTGGTCGGTTTGTCTTACTTCCGGTTGCTCTCTGCCGCTGAATGCGTGCTTCGGTGGGGGATCTTGCTATCGACGCGAGTGCTGAAAATCGAGGATAGGGCGAGCAGGGTGTATAGATGGCACCCAGGTTTCATTGCCATCCAGCCCCATCCTTGCCTTTTAGCGGAGAAGGTGACATGCTAAGGTAGCTGCAGACCCATTCACCTATGGCAAGAACCGGGAGCGTATCCGAAGACACTCAGTAACTCAGAGATTTCGGTTTTTGAACACGAAGTCTGCGCTCTTTTCGCCTCTTAAAGATGTACACCAAACGCTCCACAGGCTCATCACTCACAACCGTCAGCCCAGGCCAGCCCCCCATGTGTTTGTCTGTCTTCTTGCTTATTTTTCTGTTCTCTCATCCTTTGTTCCTGATTTCTTACCTGAGGTCTATTTGCCTCTTGCTAGTGCGTTCGTCCACGCTGCCAGGGAGGTCTCCACTTTAGCGTCTTCTACATATGACATCCTTTGCATTTTGCTCGCCTAGAGGGTCTCGTTGAACTTGCAGCTTCAAGACTGAACGCTCCTAGGCACTTCTTACAATCGCGAAATGTCCCTGAATAACAGTACCCTACGGCCCTATGGACACCTTAAGGTCGGTGATGATTTGACGACCGTCCTTTGGACCACTTAAACTGTGCAAATTTGAGCAAAGTCAATGGATATAAGGTACCATTTCAAGATTACGGTACAGTATCGTGATATCACAAGTGGTGGTCTCAGTACGCCCCCCCCCCCCATTTCCCGTCGAATTGGGTATATGGGTTTATAGTACACATAAAACAGGAAAAAAACGACTACTGGAGAGAAATTTTTACCCAGCGCAGCGAATTTCTCTCAAAGCCACATACGACCCCCCCCCCTCTCCCAACAACGACCAAATACGACCCCCCTCCCCAGCGGAAAAGTACGACCCCCATGTGTTTCACACAACGATGCTGTACCTGCATACAGTACGTGAAAAATGATTTTATGTGTATGTTTCTTACTTTTCGCGTTCGGTAGAACCTTAAAGGTTAATCAAGGGAAAATCGCGTTTTTTCCGAAGTAGCCAGATCCCTGGAGCCCAAAGAATTAGCTGGTATTGTTATTGAATGAGCAGACATAATATAATAGCATATTTACTACAATCATTCGCTGAGTAGTGTGTGTTTCTGCAGTAGAGTGCTATGTTATATATTTTTTAGTACAGAACCATATTCTAAGATCCCAGGCGCCTGGGTCTATTGCACGGTCCTCATTTTTTCTAACATTTATTCGTGAGTTGGAAGTGGCGTAGCTGCTTACTCCATTTGAACATGGCGGCGGCACTTTTTGTGGAACTTTTTGTGCTACAAACACAGAGTGACGGTTATTCCAAATGAGAATGTCTCGCAAGGACACTTACGTCATACCAGTACTTCAGAGCCGACTTTTAGGTTTGCCAATGCTGATCTCTAGGCTAGAATTTCATTCCATTCTGTGCAGTGCTTGCCAGCGTTTATCCTCCTGAGCATGAGGCATCTGGTTACGCACTTATGCAGAGTTCAGAGTTCCAGATAGCTCCTCTTTGACCTGACCAAATGTCACGGCAGTGAATGGTTGCGGAACGTGGACAGTACTAGATTCTCGTTCGCTGTGGATGCTGGGGGCTGGGCTTGGCGCGGCGCCAGCCTTTCTTCCTCCATTTGAAGAAGCGAGGGAATGGTGGAATGGGCTGGCATCCCACCAAACACTGTCGTCTCCCCTGATATGCCCCAACATCCGCAACAAACAAACCTTCACTTTGATTAAATTGTCTCTGAAGCTCTTTGATCCTAATGTTTCTTACAGCCCTTTCCCACCGCCACACAAGCCGATGCTGTACTGTACCGACTCTCCACCGAACGAGATGGCCCCTCCATACCTACGAGCTAGCAAAAATGTGAACAATACGCTTGTGTCACCTCCTGCGCCAAACGTCCAGTTGCCAGCTATCGGTGAGTTGATTATTTCATTCGTTTGTCACCTCATACCGTTGCGCTTTTTTCATTTCCATTTGCCGATTAATCTGTTCTATATCTTTTATTTAGTCTGCACACCTGTTCGACCTGCTCCGAAGCGTCCAGTAAATCTAACGCTGGACTCGCCCATACCGGTACCAGCAGACGCAACTGTTGCTTCCGAATACGTACCTATGAACCCTCCAAAAGCCATGAAAATTGCTCAAAAGGAAGACGGTGAACACTTCAACTTTTTCAGTAGACAAAGATATTGAAACGCTACTAGAGAAACCTGTTTTGAAGTTTGGTGATCTATTCTGCGCATCCTTTCAACCTTGTAGTCTTTTTGCTGCAGATGCTTTGGCGTGTCAGGGGGTTGGGATTAGCACTGCGCCACACCCACCATCACTGGCACGCCCCATCATCTGCAGCGAAAAAGAATGGAGATCACATGAGGCAATACTTCCGGTGTCAGTACTAAATGAACGGATCTTTTAGCAGAAATCATCTCTTACGACCCTTGTTTTCAGAAATTAGCTAGAACTTTCGTCGAAATTGGTCTCCGGAAGCGAGTTGGCCTGAGAATTCGATTCTGCGGCAGCTTGACCCTGGATTACGAATGTTGCATCGATTCACCTCAATACAAGATTGGTTCACTCAATGCAGGCATTAGCTCTTAAACGCCCCAAATTATCTAGTTTTTCGGAACGTGGTCCTGGGTGGGAATGGTTTGACCCTCATACGATGAATTTCTGATTTGCTTCTTGAGAAGACTCTTGGCACCCACGTCCTAGGCGCCGGATGCAAAATGGGCCTGTGGCTAGGCGCTAGATATCTTTGCACCGAATTTCTGTCACTTTTGAGCGCTGACGCGGTTCATACTTCACCAGTGGGACAATCAACTGTTGTCATCGTCGGACGGCGCTCAATTTCTCACCGGAGTGTTAATACCTTGTATTAGGCTCAACATAGAAAAATTGCATAATTCAAGCTAAATTCGGAAGAATGCTTTCATTAAGAGTGGATTGGGCCAATCTTTTTTCTGAATTTGAAATTTGAAATTTTTCTGGTTTTTTGAGTTAGGTAGGTATGTGTCTGGTCATTAAAGACCTTATTTAAAGGTTTTTTTTCTTCGTGAAGGATTAAAAAGCATTAGCCACCGACAGTTTCATTACAGATCTTCGTTTGCCAGCGATTTCTTTGAATCGTCTCAAGATCAGTGATCCGATTCCACTGATAGTTGCAGGCAAGGCAGTTAATGTTCAAGCGAAGAGCCCTCCAAATACCTCTGCTCATGTAAGTATTTGCATTATTTGTATGGAAATCCGTTTTTTGCCTCATAAAGCCCTGCAATTCCAGGAAAAACCTTCACAGACTTTTATTGCCACCTTAGAAGACACACTTCGAGCACAGACTTTGGGTCGAAACGCCAAGCTTTCACCTGGTTTGAAAAATAAGGTACGTTTTTGGTTCGTCCGTATTTTTTTACAGGCAAAATGTACACTTACCTGGAGGACGTCATTTCCATAGGCAAATCAATGGGTTCGCAGCTGCAGTAGCGTCCCTTTTCTCCGCTAAAGTTGCCCAGGAACCAGGCTAGAGGGTAGTGATGCCTGGATTCCGCCTCCATGCCCCGCCCACTTTATCCTCAGTGTGCAGCACTTGCGTCGATACCCGTATACTGCACCGAAACACGCACTCGGAGGATGAGAAGAACCAGCAGTGAGTGCGCAGAGCAGTGCGTTCAGCAGTGCTTAGCACATGGCTGGGCGGCGTGTGGAAGGGAGGGTAGAGTTGGGGACCGGCACCCCTTGTCACCGCACTCCAGTCCCGTTGCAGCACATTTTTGAGCGGAGGAAGTGCAGCGCTACGGCAGCTGCAGGCCCATTCACCTTGCCCATTGCGAAGATCAGGAACCCCTACCAAAAGCATGAGTGTACAGTTTGTCCTCAATGTTTCACATTATAATTAACAACGGAATAATTTAGGCGTTGCCAAAACCTCCGGTGCCTGACAGGTCAGAAAAACCTGCGTTACGCATTCCCAAGGATTCACCCAAGGAAAGACTTTACGACGTGCCAGCGGACTCATAGCTTCCCTTTCGCAAAGGACGAGGTTGTCTGTGCCAGTCACACACATTCACTGAACTTACAGAATCCTTAGGGGTTACTCCGTGCAATGCATCAGCTCGAAAGAGTAATATTTACACTATATATCCCGGTTATGGAGAGGGCGTCGCTGGTTAGATTACATGATTATGGCGCGGGATACGTTTCTCGGAGAATATTGTCATTCGAGGCAGCTGTCACTCAGTCTCCTACACAGAGGCGATTGCAATGTTCGAAAACGTATCCGTACGTATCCTACGAAGAACGCATCCCTCTCCAAGTTCAAGTACAGTACGCAGTCATCTCTTCCCGTCCCCGGAATCTGGGGTACCTCTGCAGTCAGTAGAATTACTGTATGTATAGAGAGATATGTGGGCCCTTGTATGTTGGAACTGGTACTATCAGTTGCTTGACGTTGTCAATTCTGTATTTTACTGGGAACTGTTATCATGTTATGCCACCGCATCTTTGACGGGTAGTGGCTTTCTTCACTGCTATTTGAAAAAAGCGAAATTCTCAGCACTAACGAGGTGTTTTAAGAGATCTGGCACAGATTTGCAGCATGGCTCCAATCATATGTACCTCATGTGACTTCGGATTTAGTGAGTTTTCCTCCAAAAATGTGGCAGTGGGGATTCGAACTTCAGTAGGAATTATTACAAGTATTGTATATGCCATGTGCGCAACCAAATTCTCGCACTATGTCAGGAGTAGACCGCGTATAGCGCCTTACCAAGAGTCCTAGAAAAGTCTAGAACCCACATTGCTGAGCAGTTTTTACACGAAAACGAGTGGGGCTGGGACGGAGCCTTTGGGGGCGCCGGGGGGGGGGGAGAGAGAGACATTAGACGAAAGATTATGGTGGGTCTCATGGTCACCATAACGCGAGTACTTGACGGATACGATCTTTCTTTGTACAAGATAGTCAGCAGTTGCAAAGGTTTGAAAGTAAATAACGAGTTCGCTGAGGCCATTTGCCGAGGCACCCCTCCCCTTCCAAAGTGGGATTGGCCACGCATAACTCGTACGAGGTGGTACTTCTTACACTGAAACTGCTTGAAATGTTTGGGAAACGAATCTCGGCATGTCCTGGGAAAGAATTGACTTGAACTTGGGAGAAACTGTGCATGAAAGCCAAAAGCAGTCATAGTTTCTAGAAGACTTTGTGTCTCCACTCAGAGAACGTTTAGCCTTATCTGCGCTCGCCAAGGGCTCAAAAACCTGCCAAAACTTGCATTCCTCCTCCTGAAGGTACATTCACCGGGACAGACAATTGTACCTTCTAGTGGTGTTATCTTTGTCAGATCTCTGAGAAAACCTGCTATCACCGCTGAATTCTGTACTTTTATACTTCATATTTATTGATCTCGCCATACTGAATATTCCCTTTTCATACGTGTTACTTCTACGTGTGATGTGTATACGCACCAGTAAAATTTGTAAGTATCATTCTCGTTACACAGATAATTGATCAGATATTCAAAGCATACTGTAGCTACACTCCTTGTGGATGACCTTGTAGCAGACCTTGCTGGGATCCTGTTCAGTGTCTTCGATAACTTCCTGAAAATAGGCACAGTTGGAGCGAAGTTGTTAGTTTGGATGTCTTACTGTTCTACAGTAAGTTAGCCGAATAATACGAATGTAATACGAATGCATTACAATAATAATACGAATGCATTACACGGCGAAACGATGGGGAGGTATGGAGCGAGCTAACCCAGGGCTGCGTTTTCTTCCAATAGTTGTCTTATTCACGACGGCAACTATTGGTAGAAAATGCAGCTGTGTGCAGGCCTGCTTGGTGCCTCCTGTCAGGCGTTCGAAGCTCAGAACGAGCGTTATGCTGCGAAAAAGGTGTGTACTGGGGCGGAGTTACGGCTGCCTTTAACACAAGCTGTTGCAGGTTCAAGATTGCATCAATTGCTAGAATAAGCCGCTGTGGCAGCCTGTTATGCAACGCCCCCTTCCACGCCCTCTCGCTGGGGTGATAATGACTATGCGTATTTATAAGATTTGATAAGACATTAATTCCCCATATAAGTATAAGGTCATAGTCCAGAGTTCTTGCGGGCTTTCACAGCTAATTAAGAACTTTGCCTCGAACTAACAGTTCATGCTCATAAACATAAACAAAATCGCAATTCTCCTCTTCTGTAAAGAATGATTTTCCTACAGATGGGACGAGACTGATTCCAGAAGAAGTAACGCTAAGCGCTTAGAAAGAGAAGTGAGCTAGAAAGTTGATAATTCCTGTACAAATAGCAATCAATTTCTATTCTATATCTATTTTTCAATATTTCTATACAATGTAATTAAAAAAGAAAAAGTGAAGAGTGAGGAAATATTGAATAAAAATTTCTCAGCCGGGTAAAGCACTTACATGCGCAACTTTCTCGATCATACTGCGGCAGAGTTTGTCCGTAGCAGCTGAACTGAAGTCCGCGTCGCACTTCTTCTCCAACGCACCTTCAACTTCAGCCTAGAAGAATCAAACAGTAGTAATCTTTACTTCCTTTCTGACTGCATTCAGACGACACTTGAAATGAGACTGTCGAAGCTGTGAACTTTATGTCCCACACTAGTGCAGCAACAGCCTCGATACGACTGTTCTCGAGTTTTTCCAAATCTCGGAATGACTGACCAGCCATTCCGAGATTTGGAAAAACTATACAACCAGGCGATTCTAGATTAGTCATGGATATATGTCTAGCTAATGCACAATCAACAGAACCCCGTGTTGCCCTGTAAGAGGCAGACAAAACAATCATGATTTGTCACCTAGTCAGGCTCGGCGTCCCGTACTGCGTTGCCCACCTAGCAAAATACAATATCTTCGATTACTTTTGCATTGTTTATTTGTGGGTGCTGTTTTTCTGTAGAGATAGAGGTGCAGTTTTTCGAGGCCTCAGAGTTCTCCAAGTACGCCCATATTTAAACTGCCAGGTAGGAGAACTCGTCTGTGGGGCGCGGCGCCGCTCGCCACAGATTATTTGATTGTCTTGTCATATACATTGGTCTACGGCAGCGTTCAGATTTCGCGACAGCAGTGCATTAGCGGCGTTCGACGCGATCGATGCGCATGCTTTCGACTGCATTGATCGCGTTGAACGCGTGACCGAAGCGCTGTCGTCGCGAAGTCTGAACGCTGCCTACAAGGAGATTGAACTGGCACCATCACTGAAATTATACCTAATCAACCGCTACTGCAGCCAGTAATTAAAGAACCTGATTGTCACTAAAGGATAACACTCACTGGGGGCGGAGGTGGTGTAGTGACAAGTGGCGTGCATACCATTCGCGTGGCGCCAGGTTTGAGTCCCGAGACTGCCACCTAGGCCAACCAAACCTTCTAACCCCTCGGGACGGTAAATTGGATTACGATTTTGAAGTAGAATTTTGAAGTGGAAGTAAAATGCGTGCCGCATCCCACAAAGGGATTTATTCTTGTATCCTTTAATTGTCACTAGCTCTCATCCCGTGGTACACTGCTGTCGCGATCTTTTATTGTTAGAGAGGTCCCAGTGATGAGCTCTTTCTTTCTTCACTTTTTCTGAGACGGCTCTGAGTGGCGGAACACACGATTCTTGCTCCTTTTCTTCCCTGATACAATCTCTTACAATATTGAAAAGCCGATTCCTCAATGCATGGCGAGCCAGAATGAATTTCAAATGACTAGAGCATTGGAATCGTTTCAGTTTTTCGCCGTTCTGTAGTAAGTGTTGCCATGCATTTCAGATATATCGCAGGCAATGAATCCTGAGACTGCTATCGTTATGTTAACTCAACTGAATCCGGACAATTCTGCTGCTACGATCTCAAAACTTCAAATTTTTCGTTGATGTTGCGTGCACTCCGCACCCAGGATGTGGGGAGGACGTGGCTGCGCATTTGTTTGAGCATGGCGTGCGATGCGTTTATGGTGCTGTTTGTACACTTGAGATCTGTCAGTATGTTCCGTGCTGGAGAAAAAAAGGTGATTACAATTGTTCCTAAAGGTAGGATCCCATCAAAAGCGCTACCGCCGCCACGTTGAAATGAACCAAGCAACCACGCCCACCCCATATCCGTTATGTGAGTGTATACACTGTTTTCTCGAACTCAATTCTCTCATAATGGTAGTACATAACTATAACTTATTGGCCCAGCGAAAAAAAATTGTCGATGGGAAAGGCGAAATACCTGCTTGACGGGCATTGAGGAGTCATACTCGTGTTTGAGAAAGACGACATCGGGGAGGTCCTATTGAGGAAAAGAGTTTTGCCTACACCACGCTTAATAGAATTAGGGCAAGGCCGGCTTTGATTGAGCCGCTTGTTCTTGCGTAAAAAGAATCTCTGCTAAACACTTTCCTTCACCCAGCCCCCTTCCCCAACCAATCTTCTACGTACCCCACCTCTACAACCGACTGATCATCTAACTTACCCTTCCTGAGAAGTTGCCGAGCGATGGCTATAGTACGCGTGGAAGCAGAGGAGTCAAGAAAATTCTTCTCAAGCAGTATACGGTCTCGGAGCCTTCTAAATACAACCTCCCGATGAGGATATCCAAGGCAAAAATTCCCTCATTGGGATTCGCTCAGCACAATGCGTCCTCCTCTACTGCAAATGATCGGGACCACTCCGTCTCATCACCGGGAACACCACACGGTCAGAAAGGCCGTCCCTCTTCGTCAATAAAGAGCTCAGCATGCTGCGTTCGCTTCAGATAAAACACCATAACGTACTCTTAAGTAGGCGAAAGTGGTGTAGTGGCAAGTGACACGTTTACCACACGCACGGCCCGGAGATCAAAATCTGCTTTTGGCTTCTGCTCACGCCAACCAAGCCTATCTTCCCGGAATTGTAAACTGTTACCAGACCAGTATGGAAGGATAAAACAGTGACTTGTACAGTGGCTGGATCCAGCAAGTCAAAATCGCAAGCCACTAGGATTCTGAATGGATATAGAATGCGTGCCGCATCCCCAAAGGGAACTAATCACTG